CACCGGCGGATCTCCAGGAGAGCACTTCACCTTGAAGAGCCACCGGCAATCGGCTACAGTACGTCCACCTAGGTGGGGGAACTGCGTCGAAATAGGTGCTGGTGGATCTCCAAGATGCCATCTCTGCGTCCATGGCAGCTATCCACTAAGAAGCCCAAGGTCCGGAGGTCGCCTCAGCGTAGGTGCGAGGGGTCGGGATGTCAAGAGCGTCTGGGTCACCCTTAGGGACTAGCAGCACGGAGTAGAGATGAGGAGCGGCCTCGAACAGGAAAGCTAACTCATACCGCCTGTCCTCTAGGATGTCACTGCCAAGGGCAGGTGCACCTCGACGGACGGAGGACAAGCAGGGTCAGAGACCAAAGCTGTGGCATAGTCAAGGCAGCGGGTAGAGACAAAGTCAGCAACTGCAACGACAAGAGCATCAAGACTGGAGACAAGAACAGCCGGGTCGGTAATAAAAGAGGCGAGGAGCCGAGGAATAAGAGGATAAGCCGCACGAAGAAAGTCGGAAAGGGGAGGCAGAGAGACAACAAGCGACGACTGAGGAGGTGACGGGAGAAGAGGAGCACGAAACGCGTAAGAACGGAGCAACACAGGGTGAGAATGCTGGACTGGGGACGCAAGACGGGCGCATGAGGGATGGTTAGACCACCAGCGGGAGGTGGGTACGGGGTCAGAAGACAAGGGAGGAAACACAAGGGGAGAACGAGCCGGGGACAAGTCCGGCGGAGGGAACACAATGCTCTAAGACCAACCGAGGCGAAGACGGGAGAGGCAGAGGCTGGCGGTCGTGCGGGGGAAAACCAAGGAGGCGAAGGACGGGCACCGGCGGTGACTGCTGCTACTGCTACTCCACGCCAATACCAGATCCTTCAACCGCACCACGGCTACCTCCAGGATGCTCCACGATAGCACCCCCAGAACGAAAACCCTCTCCTGCACCAGTGCCACCCCAAGGACTGCCGGGACACGCCACGATAGTACCCCCAGGATTAGCACCCCCGAACCAGCACCCCCAGGACCAGCACCCTCCTCCGCGCCAGCACCCACAGAGCTCACATACCCCTGCAACTGCTGCGTCTGCTGCTCCGGCTGCGACGGTGGCGACGGCTGCTACTTCTGCGGCTGCGGAGGGGGGGACACCATGGTGGAGACAGGCGGCAAACTCTGAGCCGCAGGGCCCCCAGAGTCACCCGACTCCTCTGGCGGGGGAACCAAGGGAAGAGGAGAGACGTGAGACACATCAGACAGGGCAAGACGGGAAGGGCGGGGAGCGGGAGCTACCGGACGAGTGGGGACAAGAAACTGGGATTGGTTAACCGGGAGGCCTCAGTGAGGAAAGCGGGTGTAGAAAGAGACAGACTCATCAAATGTGACATCATGCGAGTGGAAGAAGCGGTGAGATGGCGGGTGGTAAAAGTGCAAGTCAGGCACGTCTAGGGGGAAACCAAGGAAGACACAAGGGACGATGTAGGCAATGAGCTTGACCATGCCAGAAGCATGAACGTAAGCATGGCAGCCCCAGACGTGGAACGCAGACGCATCACCAGGGGACCTGATCCAGATGAGGGTTGGCGAAACCTGTGGCCGCAGCGAGTGGGGCCACAAGTTCAGCTAGTGAGCGGCGTTGCACACTACGAACGACCATAGAAGATGGGGTGCACCAGCATGGATCATGGAGGTACGAGCCACCTCCATGACCAAACCGATGCATCGTTCAGCGACCCCATTCTGCTGCTGGGATTCCGGCAGGGTGTACGACTGGGTGATGCCCTCTGCACAACAGTACTGGCCAATGCGACCGGATGCAAACTCACCGCTTCAGTCGAAGTGGAGACAAAGCACTGGCAGGGCACGGTGTACTCGCGCAGCTACGACCCACGGGATAAGAACTTCAGGCGCGTCAGCCTTCTGCTCCAGGGGAAACACCGTGGTGTAGCGCGTGTAGTCGTTGACGAGCACTAGAAAGTAGCGCTCGCGACGTGGCCCAGGGACGGGAGCTGGGCTCCGGACGTCTAGGTGCAAGGTCTGGTGTGGTGAAGTGGTGGGGGGAAGCGAGGAGGAGTGAGTAGCATGGCGCGGCGCCCTCGACGCAGAGCATGCACGGAGGCGCGAGCAAGGGAGGGAGGGCAAGGAGCAGCGCAGGAAGACCTAAAACACGACCGTGCTGGGACATGTGACGTAGACGCAGGAGTGCGGGGTGACCTAGGCGGTCGTGCCACAGAAGCGATGGGTGAGTGAGCGACGGACACGAGCAAGCCGCAGGGACCTCGTAGGGCGCAGCCACCTGGGAGGACGCGGTGTCGAGCGTAAATAGGCCTGCTACAGGGTCCCGGGGGAACATGGTGGGAGGGGCACCAGTTGCGGCCTCGGTACAGACTGTGTACCACTCTTGTCCAGGGAATGTATTGGTGACGCCGAGGTCCTGAAGATACCCGACACCAACTTGGTTCCTGGAGAATGAGAGGATGTGCAGGCCCGTAAGAGAGCCCGAGGGAACCGCTGGACAGGGAAGGGTGGTGGAGCTACGTGCAACTAGCGGACCTGAGGAGGGGTCAACAAGCGCGACTACTATAGGGGCGGCAAGCGGCGTGAGCACATTATGGTTGCGAAAGGAGCAAGGGGGCGCATTAGAGTCGAGCGTTGAAGAGAGCGCAGTGGTAGCGTCACTCAGCGGAAAGGCAAGGGAGGAGCCGAGGCTAAACAAGGGAGGTGATCCTACCCTTGACGCAGCAGAGAAATCTAGGCTACACATGGTGGACACACCTACACTAAGAAACACAGGGTAATAAGGTCCAGTCACACTAGAGTTATTAGCATACATGGCATACAAAGCATAGCGAATCTGATCCATATCTATCTCAAAAACTGGCACACGGTGATGTACCATACTGTGCTAGTCACGGAGGTCCGGCGCAGGGTCGAAGCCGAGACAGAAGAGGTCGTCGAGGCGGCGGTGTGACCTGGACGGTCACACACAGTGCCGCGGAGGGGGCCGGTCTGAAGCTGGTAATAGCACCGCACTGGAGCCGCCACCCGACGCTGAGCTGCGTGAGCCGCCAGTACAACCACCACTAACAAAACCGCCAGGCCACCACAGCGGTGGGGGTCCCCACGGCTGCTGCTGCGACTGCTGCTGCGGCTGCAGCAGCAGCAACAGCTGTTGCTCCTTCTGCGGCGTCGGGGCATCAGCCCCGGTCTCCTCGTCTACACCACCGGCGCTCATACCACCTCCGCCACTGCCGCCACCCCGCCCTCTGCCACCCCCCCCCCCCGGGTCGGCGCCCCCTACCCTGACCAGCCTGTGGTGAGGCCGCTGCAGCGGTCTCAGTAGCAAGGGCTGTCTCAGCGATAGCTGAAGAAATGTGAGAGTAAGTGCACTGGGAGGGAGCACAGCCCTGAAAGATGGGACCACTGCAGTACCGCTCGACTGAGCGATAGTGCGCTGGCGGGTCTCTATCACAGACAGGGTGGTGACAAAGTCAGTGAGGGTGAGGTCAGCAGGGTCGAGGCCAAGAAAGTGGTCGCGGGTAGTGGCGAGGTGATCAAGAAGGCTTGTGGCAAGAAAGTAGAGGGTAGTGCCGAGAGGAGGAGGCAGTACAGTGAGCAGAGCCTTAGTGCGAGGAACTCGGTAGCTAATCTCGAGTGCGCGCAAGAAAGTAGCGAGATCAGAGACAGTGGGGAAGGACGCAAGATCGATGAAGAGCAGGGGGAGAAAGAGATGACCGGCAGAGGCGGAGGACGGAGCGGAATAGCGCGCAATGACAACATCTAGGTATTCCTTCGCAGTCTCTACAGCCTGGTAGCGGCGGCGCTCGGACAAGGGGAGGGCGTAACTGATAGCAAGCTGCGCAACCTCGTTACGCGACTCCCAGATAGAGCGAGCAAACTTAGCAACTGCAAAGGCCTCACGCTTTGCGGGCATGGGGGCGTGAGGGAGGGCAAAAGGCGGGTCAGGGCAGGGGAGCTTACCGTCGACGTGGACGACTAGGGAGTGGCCATCCTGGCGCTAACCCCTTAGTTGGTGGCGGAGGTCGGCGGGCCACGCCTCAAAATCGACCGCCCGACCCTCCGAGTCCAGGTGGAGCATAGAGTCCGCCGTCACCACGGCTGCAGCAGCTGACAATTGCTAGAGGGAGAGGAGCAGTGGGGAGCAGTGGAGTGCGGTAGGGAGCGATGGAGAGCGGTGGAGGACAGTGGAGAGCGGTGGTGGAGGCAGCCGACGGAAGCGCTGGCTCAGAGGGGAACCAGGGCCGGCGGGTCGAGGCGGCATAGCGACACGGCGGCTCGGCGGCACAGCGGCTCGGCAGCAGGTGGGGCCGGCAGTAGCTGGGGCCGACGCGAACTGGGGCCGGCAAGGGCTGGGGCCGGCGCGAACTGGGGCCGGCAGCGCCTGGGGCCGGCGCAAGCTGAGGCCGATTGTGGATGGGGCGGGCGCAAACTGGGGCTGGCAGCGGCCGGGGCCGGCGCGTACGGGGGGCCAGCGCGAAAAGAGGGGGCGACGCGAAATGGGTTTGATGCGAGGTGGTGGCCGGCGCGACATGAGGCCTGCGCGAGCTGGGGCCGGCGCGAAGGCGGGGCCGGCGCGAAAGCGGGGCGGCGCAGGAGCGGGGCCGGCGCGATCTGGGGCCGGCGCACTAAGGGCCGGGGAGCGAGGGGACGGCGAGCTAAGGGGAGGAGAGCAAAGGAGCCGGCGAGCGAGGGGTCGGCGAGCGAGGGGCCGGCGATCGCGGGGGCCGTGCAACGAGAGCAAGCGGGGCCAACGGCAGGCTAGGGGTCGCGCGACGCGCAAAGGGACGTGGGGCTAGTGGGCTAGTGCTAGGGGCTGTTGGAAATACAAATGCATTGTTATACAATTTGATATTACAATATGAGGTTTGTGATGATAGGTGTATTCCCCAAGTGAGAATGCTAGTATGGGGTACAAAGGGCCAAGTCTAAACATCATTGGTCCTAGAATCATTGAGGTTAGCTTGACTCCATTATTGCCACTCCAATATTGGTTTGGCATTATGGATATGGGGGGTCAAGCACTTTGGAGTGCATTATGCTTCTCTTTGAGAGGCTAGAGGGCCTCTTGGAGGAGCCAAGAGAGTAGTACAAATGCTTGTATTTTCCTTGAGCAATCAACCATTTCTGGTTCAACGCTTCCGCTACGCGGCATAGTCCGATTTCCAACATTGTTTCAGAGCTTTAGGAGGGGGCTATGCTGCCCCACTGCATCTACGCTATGATCCTGCTATGCTTCATTCTGAATGGTTGCTGCAGCGTTTGGAGATGGGAGCATGGACTCTCCAAGTGGTGGCAAAGGAGGCTCCCACCAGTACACGGGTTTTGACATGCACGTCTCTTCCCAACCTGCACGCACCACATGTGAAGGGATGAGGAGGAGGTCAAACACAAGCGAGGATCTCATATGATGCAGTGCCAAAGGTGGCAGCGCGTGTGGAGCTGCAGCAGCGCGTGTGGAGCTGCCATAGTGTCTGAACGGAGCTGAAGCTACACCATTGTGAAGAGGCTGGATGTGTGCAGAAAGGTGATTCATCAAATAAATGTGGTTACAGCAGGAGTGATTGAATGGCTGCCGCATGTACGCGCCTGTGACTGCACCAAGTGTGAGTGTGTGGCTGCACCAAGAGTGACTGTGTGGCTGCACCAAGTGTGAGTGTGATTGCAGTAAAGTGCGTGTGGCTTATAGCCATTATGAAGAAAACAAAGAAGGGCGGGTGAATGTGGTGCAGCAAGCATTACGTGAGCACTTGTGATGGTATGATCAGACTGCAGCAAACGTTGAGGCTGCTATTATGGGACTCTGTGAATGCTATGATGACATAAGAATGTGGCAGCACTTGTGGGAATGTTACAGCACCACTGGAGTATGCGAGCACCATGTGAATGTGCGAGCACCATATGCATGTGCGAGCACCATGTGAATGTGCGAGCACCATATGAATGTGCGAGCACCATGTGAATGTGCGAGCACCATGTGAATGTGCGAGCACCATGTGAATGTGCGAGCACCATATGAATGTGCGAGCACCATGTGAATGTGCGAGCACCATATGAATGTGCAAGCACCATGTGAATGTGCGAGCACATAATGAATGTGCGAGCACCATGTGAATGTGCGAGCACCAAGTGATTGCGATGGCACCAATGCGTTGGCACCAATGCGATGGCACCAATGTGATGGCACCAATGTGATGGCACCAATGCGATGGCACCAATGCGATGGCACCAATGCGATGGCACCAATGGGATGCACCAATGTGATGGCACCAATGCGATGGCACCAATGCGATGGCACCAATGCGATGGCACCAATGTGATGGGACCAATGCGATGGCACCAATGCGATGGGACCAATGCGATGGCACCAATGTGATGGCACCAATGTGATGGCACCAATGTGATGGCACAAATGTGATGGCACCAGCACCCATGTGAATGTGAATGCACCACTGGAGATGCACCCACGCTACGCGCAATGGGGCGCACACTACGAGCAAGGATGCGCACGCTACGAGCAAAGGGGCACACGCTACGAGCAAAGGGGCACACGCTACGAGCAAAGGGGCACACGCTACGAGCAAAGGGGCACACGCTACGAGCAAAGGGGCACACGCTACGAGCAAAGGGGCGCACGCTACGAGCAAAGGGGCACACGCTACGAGCAAAGGGGCACACGCTACGAGCAAAGGGGCACACGCTACGAGCAAAGGGGCGCACGGCGCACGCTACGAGCAAGGATGCGCACGCTACGGACAATGGAGTTCCGGGCGATTGGCGCGGCTACGAGCGATTGGCGCGGCTACGAGCGATTGGCGTGGCTACGAGCGATTGGCGCGGCTACAAGCGATTGGCGTGGCTTGGAGTGAATGGCGCAGCTCTGGGCGACGTCGCAGCTACAAGGGATGGCGCGGCTATGAGCGATGGCGTGGCTACGAGCAATGGGGCAACGAGCAAAGGCGCAGCTTCGAGCAAAGGCGCAGCTTTGAGCTAATGAGCAGCTATGGGCGAATGGAGCCGCTATGGTTGAATGGAGCTGCTATAATGCTATGAGTGAAGGCGGCGTTTTGAACGATGAGGCTACGAGCAAAGGCGCAGCTATGAGTGATAGCACCCCACATACATGGCAATGCCTTGGGTGCAACACGTGGAAAGGAACAGCAGAAGCGGGCATCCCCAAGGAGCTGGGAATGCACCTGATGATAAGACGAACGCTGCAGCAGGGACTGATGCCTCTTGCCATGCCCCTCATGCGCTTACTGCTGAGACTGCGGGGAGCCAGGGGTCAGCAAAGTGATTCCAAGGAGGCATGAGACATCAAGGAACAGCAAGAAAACAGGGGGAGCAGAAAAGTAATGCCAGAATGGTGAACAGGTGCATGTGGTCGCAGCATGCACATTGGCAAGTGCAGAAGACATGGCTGTTGAATAGCCTCACCCTGCAGCAGCTGGAACACGCAAGGGAATGGGAGAAGAAACGATCTCGAACATGTGAAGTTCCCTCGAAACTTTCTGCCCCATTCCTTCGTGCATCCGTGGTGAATCAGCTGGCCCTGCACAAAGGAGGGGGAGATAGGGCAGAAAGGAATGCTGAGGGGACATGAGGGTACCAGGCAGGCGCAGTGGCAAGGCAGCGTCTGAACCGGCAGCAGCAGCCATGTAAGTCCAGCAGCCAGAATTAGAGGCAGTGGAACGTCTGGCTCCGTATGTCTAATCCCCTTGGCCAAATGACATCACCTACTTGGATTGGAGAAAGACGGAAGGGATATGGCAAGAGGAGAAGCAGAGCACAATGGTATCCCGTATTCCAATGAGAAGCAGTTCAAGGGGAGTATGGGACCCTTGGTTATGGCGGTAATGGAAGGGCAAGGGTGCGAGCTGGTGCTTACGACAAGCAGATGAAGGCTCGCAGTTGAAATTGACCACACTGGGCAGCACTTTTGGGTTGGTTGAAGCAGTGCAGGCAGTGTAGACTGGTGCAGCAGCCCGGCAGCAAGGACAGCCTCCGGCAGCAGCACCTGGCACATGAAAGGCAAAGTGAGGATGGGTTATTTTATGACTGGCAAACTCTCCTGCGACCAGTTTCGTTTGTTCAAGTCTGCTCGCACAGCAGCACTTGCACAAACGAGGGGGAGTGAGGCAGAGAGTTTGCAATTGGAGCTGGACTAACGTCGTGTGGTCAATGGTCAATGCAGCACCGGGATCATGATGTGGAAAGAAGCTTGGACATTAGCATGCAGAATGGGAACATCGGACGTGGCGCAGAGAAGCCGGGATATGTTTGGGCTGAATTTACCTGAGCTTGGGACGACGCTGCCGCCAAGATTCGCGGCAGTTGCAGCAGCAGGAGGACAGCAGGAATTCATCACCTGCAGCATAAATTCGCAATCTGCAGCAGCACCATGGATGCAGCTGCACCATTTCGCCATGCTATAACAAGGTTTTCGCAGCTGCCCCAAGGTTTTGGCAGCTGCCTAAAGGATTTCGCAGCTGCCTAAAGGACTTCGCAGCTGCCTAAAGGATTTCGCAGCTGCCTCAAGGATTTCGCAGCTGCCCCAAGGATTTCGCAGCTGCCCCAAGGATTTCGCAGCTGCCCCAAGGATTTCGCAGCTGCCCCAAGGATTTCGCAGCTGCAGCAAGCATCTCGCCACAGCAGCTTGCATTTCGTAACCTAAGCTAGCATTTCAGGACTGAAGCTGAAATTTCGGGAGTGGAGCTGACATTTCGCGACTATCTGCAGCATCCGTCACTGCCCTAAATGTTTCTCTCAACAGCAGCTAAACATTTCGCCACTGGATCTCGGATCTGCAGCAAGGATTTCGCCACTGCAGCAAGCATTTCGCCATAGCAGCTGGCATTTCGTGATTGAAGCTGGAATTTCGCCACGGCAGCAAGCAAAATACGCAGCGGCGCTATGACCACTCAGTGACGAGCTGATGAAAAGGAGAGGGAGCTAAGGCTGAGCGTTGCAATCAGCCGCTCTCTTATATCTCGAAATTGTGAGGAGAAAGGGGGAGGTCAGATGGCGCCATGCGCGTCAGCCATTCCACCTCAGGGTTGGCCTAAATTCTGGCCTAGGAACGAGCTCCTTGAGAGCTAGGGTGTAACGCATGGCCTCGGCCCCAACTCAGGATGATTGGGATGACTTGTTACCTGTGGTTGAGTTCGCAGTGAACAATTCTGAAAAACCCTTCATTCTGAACAGTGGTCGGCATTGTCAACTTATACATATTATCTATGTAGAAGTTATAGGCTAGACTGAGGTATGCTTCTAGTGAGTACAACCAACTAGTATTTGTTCTAGGTTTCCACTTCTAGTTATTATTCGTTCTCACTTTGACATGGTATCACGCGTATGTTAGCATCCCCCACCTACCGCTTCCGCCCGTACCCTAGCTAGGCCACGTCGCGCCTCCTAGCCCCGTCGCGCCTCCTAGCCACGTCGCCCCCCTCCTGGGCCGCGTCGCGCCACCCTAGCCCCGTCGCGCCACCCTAGCCCTGTCGCGCCCCTCGTGGGCCCCGTCGCGCCTCCTAGCCCCGTCGCGCCCCTCCTGGGCCCTGTCGCGCCACCCTAGCCCCGTCGCGCCACCCTAGCCCCGTCGCGACCCTCTTGGGCCCTGTCGCGCCTCCTAGCCCCGTCGCGCCCCTCCTGGGCCCCGTCGCGCCACCCTAGCCCCGTCGCGCCACCCTAGCCCCGTCGCGCCCTGCCTGGCCTCGTCGCGCCCGCTCGGCCTCGTCGCGCCCTGCCTGGCTCCATCGCGCCCGCCTGGCCCCGTTGCGCCCTGCCTGGCCCCGTCGCGCCCTGCCTGGCCCCGTCGCGCCCTGCCTGGCCCCGTCGCGCCTGCTCGGCCCCGTCGCGCCCTGCCTGGCTCCGTCGCGCCCGCCTGGCCCCGTCGCGCCCTGCCTAGCCCCGTCGCGCCCAGCCTGGCCCCGACGCGCCTGCCTGGCCCCGCCGCGCCTCCCTGGCCCTGCCGCGCCTGCCTGGCCCCGCCGCGCCTGCCTGGCCCCGCTGCACCTGCCTGGCCCTGACGCGCCTGCCTGGCCCCGTCGCGCCCTGCCTGGCCCCGTCGCGCCTGCCTGGCCCCGTCGCGCCTGCCTGGCCCCGCCGCACCTGCCTGGCCCCGCCGCGCCTGCGTGGCCCCGCAGCGCCTCCCTGGCCCTGCCGCGCCTGCCTGGCCCCCGCCGCGCCTCCCTGGCCCCGCCGCGCCTGCCTGGCCCCGCCGCCCCTCCCTGGCCCCGCCGCGCGTGCCTGGCCCCGCCGCGCCTGCCTGGCCCTGCCGCGCCTGCCTGGCCCCGCTGCGCCTGCCTGGCCCCGCCGCGCCTGCCTGGCCCCGCCGCGCCTGCCTGGCCCTGCCAGCACCTGCCTGGCCCCACCGCACCTGCCTGGCCCCTTCGCCCCGGCTCGTCCTGCCGTGCCGCCTCGGGCTCCGTCTCCTCTGCTCGCCCGTGCTGAGGCGCTTCGCGGCCGCCGTGCTGGAGGGGGCTGTCGCTGTGTTCCTGCGTCGCTGTGTTCCTGTGGAGCTGTGCTGCTGACCCTGCACGATGGCGGACTTCGTGCTCCGACTGGACGCCGAGGGCCATACGGTTGACTTCGCCGCCTGGCTCTCCGATCTCCGCCGCCACCTTACAGGTCAGCGCCAGGATGGCCACTCTTTGGTTGTCCATGTCGACGGCTTGCTCCCCCGCCCCCCCGCACCTGCTCCCCTCCCTGCTGATCCCTCCTCTGATGACCGTGAGACCTTCTCTACTGCTGCGCTTGCCCGTGCGGTCTGGGACTCCCGCGATGCAGTCGCTCAGGTTGCCATTAGCCACGCCCTCCCTGTCTCTGAGCGCTCGCGTTTTGCTACTATTGAGACGGCCAAAGCTTACTTAGACGCTGTTATTGCCCGCTATTCCACACCCGCGTCTGCTTCTGCTGGTCGCCTGCTCTTCCCTATGCTTTTCCCAGACCTTGCAGCTTTCCCTACCGTCGCAGACTTTGCCACTCACCTGCGTGCCCTAGAGACCCGCTATCGCACTGCCAGCACTGCCGCCCAGCTCACTGCGCTCCCCCCCCCTTTCTGCATGACGCTCTATTTTATCGCCATGCGCCTGCCAGACCGCCTCGCTAGTACTCGCGATCACTTTCTTAGCCAGCACCCGGGTGACCTCACTCTCACTGCCTTTGTCGACACCCTCACCGAGATCGAGACTCGCCAGCGCACTATCGCTCAGTCGAGCGGTGCGCCGGCAGTTTCTATCTTTCACGGTTGTGCCCCCTCCCAGTGTGCGTTCACTGATGTTTCGGCTGCGGTCGCCTCGGCGGCCCCTCTCACCGAGACGGCTGGTGCGGTCCACCCGCAGCAGCGCTCGCGCCGCGGTGGCCGTGGTCGCCAGGGGGGTAGGGGTGGTGGTGGCAGTAGTGGTGGTGACGGTAGTCCGCCTGCGGGGACTACCACTGGTGGGCAGGAGCAGCAGCCCCAGTCGCAGCAGGAGCAGCCCCAGCCGCAGCCGCCGCCCCAGCAGCAGTCACCGTCCAAGCAGCAGTCGCCGCAGCAGTGGGCCCGTCTCCCGCCTGGTTGGCCCGGCACCTCCGGAGGTAGTGGCCGTGGTGGCGGCCCGCGCGGCTTGGCGCCTACCGGCGGCTCCGGTGCTGTCACCTGCCAGTACCAGCTTCAGACCGGGCCTCTTCGCGGCACTCTGTGCCGCCGCCCGCACCCGACCGCCCGCTGTTTCCGCCGCCTCGACGATCTCTTTCGTCGTCGCTTTGGCCCGGCCCCGGACCTCCCCGACTGGCACAGCCTGCTCCGCCAGGGCGTGCCGATCTTTGAGTTAGACATGGATCAGCTAGGTGCTGCTTTGCATGCTTTGTGTTATGACGCTTCCAGTTTTGCTGGATCTTATTACCCTGTGTACTCTAGTTTAGGTGTTGCACCACTGTGTAGCTTAGCCTCCCCTGCTGCGTCAGGCGTAGGACTGCCTAGGTTGCCTAGTCTAGTCGCTGCACCGGCTCCGTCCCCGGCCTCCGCCACTGCGTCGCTGTCCTTCACTCTCGACTCCGGTGCTTCTGCCTGCTTCTTCTGCGACCGTTCCACGCTCACACCGCTTGCTGCACCTGCTGTTGTCTCTCTCGCTGACCCCTCTGCGTGTCCTGTCGTCGCGCGCAGTTCTACGTCCCTTCCCTGTCCGGCAGTTCCCTCGGGCTCCATTACTGGCCTCCACGTTCCCTCGTTCTCGAGGAACCTGGTTGGTGTCGGCTGTCTCCAGGACCTCGGCGTCACCACCACGTTCCCCGGGCACGAGCGGTTCACTGTCTGTTCTGAGGCTGTCTCAGGTTCCCCCTTGCGACGTTCCCCCGGGACCCGGTGTCCGGTCTGTTTACACTAGACACCGCTTCCCCCCCGGTTGGTGCGTCCTCCCAGGTTGCTTCAGCTTGCTTGTGTCGGTCCCTCACTCACCCCTCCCTTCTCTGGCACCACCGCTTAGGTCACCCTGCTCTCCCGCGTCTGCGTCACATGTCCCAGCACGGTCTTGTCTTAGGTCTCCCCGCGTCGCTCCCTGCCCTTCCTCCCTCGACTGCGCCACCGTGCACGCCTTGCGTCGAGGGTCGGCTCCGCCGTGCTCCTCACTCCTCCTCGCTGCGTCCTGCTAGTGCCCCCCTTCAGACCCTGCACCTGGACGTTTGGGGCCCTGCCCCCGTCCCCGGACCGCACGGTGAGCGCTACTTCCTTGTGCTCGTCGACGACTACACGCGCTACACCAAGGTGTTTCCCCTGGAGCGGAAGGCCGACGTGCCCGACGTTCTTCTCCTGTGGGTTGTGGCTGTGCGTCTCCACCGCGGTCTCCCCGTGTTGTGTCTCCACTCCGACCGTGGCGGCGAGTTCGCCTCTGGTCGGCTTGGACAGTTCTGTCGTGCGGAGGGCATCACCCAGTCGTACACCTTGCCGGACTCGCCACATCAGAATGGGGTTGCTGAGCGCCGCATCGGCTTGGTCATGGAGGTCGCCCGTACCTCCATGATCCATGCCGATGCCCCCCATTTTCTGTGGCCGTTCGCTGTTCGTTACGCTGCTCACCAGCTTAACCTGTGGCCACGCTCCCAGCGGCCGCAGGTTTCGCCGACCCTCCTTTGGACCGGGTCCCCCGGTGACGCGTCTGCGTTCCACGTCTGGGGCTGCCTTGCTCACGTTTGTGGCTCTGGCACGGACAAGCTCACTGCTCGCACTGTCCCCTGTGTCTTCCTCGGTTTCCCCCTGGACTCGTCTGACTGGCTTTTCTACCACCCGCCATCTCACCGCTTCCTCCACTCTCGTGACGTCACCTTTGACGAGTCCGTCTCCTTCTACCGCCGCTTCCCTCACCGAGGTCTCCCAGTTGCCCCCCCCCTGTTCCTTGCTCCCTCTCCCCTGGTAGCCCCTGCCCCTCTCCCGCCTCGTCCTGCCCCGTCTGGTGTCTCTCACGTCACTCCCCTCCCGTCGGTTGTCCCCGTTGAGGAGTCTGCTGACTCCGGTGGTACCCCCGGTGCATCCTTGCCGCGTCCCCCTTCCCCGGTGCCTCCGCCCCCACTGTCGCAGTCGCCGCCGCCACTGCCGCCGCCGCCCTTGGCCCCTGGGGGTGCTTGTGTGGAGGAGGGTGTTCGTCCTGCAGCTTCTGGGGGTGCCGCTGGTGTTGGAGGGGGTTCTCGCTCTGGGGGTGTTGGTTCTGGAGGTGCTGCTGTTGAGTGGTCTGCCGACGGTCGTTCTGCCTCTGCTGGTCCGAGATTTCCGGCCCAGCCGTCGTCGTCGCCGCCGGTCTCCGCTCTCCGCCTGCTCGACCTTCCCTCCCCGGACCGCGCGCCGGTGTCTCCCCCACCGCCTGCTGACCTTCCTGTCTACGGTCCAGTGTTCTCGCCGCCGGACTCGTCTCCGGCCTGTCTTCCTCCTCGTTCCCCTCCTGTGTCTCCTCCGCTGTCCCCTGACCCTACACCTCCGTCTCACGTTTGGGCTCGCCGTCCCTCCCGTGCTCGTCCCGTCTCTCCTGTCCTGCCCACCCACCCTATGTTGCTCCGTTCCCGCTCGTCTCGTCCTCCCCTCCTCCCGTCCCCTCCTCCCTCGTCCCTTGCTGTTGCACCTCCTCCGTTCTCTGACTA